CTTCCATTCCCTCCTTTTATCTTCTTAATCTATTTGCCTTTCTTGCAATAAGCTAACATACAAGAACTAGATTTTGCACATCTTAATCTTATTGCCTCTATTATTGTCCCCGAATAACTTTTGCATATCACTCTTTCTATATCAATAACTCTTGTTTTGAGATGAGCACTGATGAGCTCCTTAGCATTGAGGCTCTAACACTTAAGTTTCCCTGTAAGTTTTCTTCTGAATCTATTCATCTTTCATTAAGTACATATTTTTTGGGATTTCTAGAATTTTTAGGAACTGCAATGAGATTTTTAAGAATTGTTATAGAAGCTGTAAAAACCAAAACTTGCTATCATTGAGTTATGAATATGTGAAGTCATAAATTCTAAACTATGATTTGTGAATAGTTGAACCTATGTTTATGAGTATTTAGACGTTTAGTTGTAAATTTATGAATTTTGACAACACATTAACTCCGAACCTTTACTTGTAAAGATATGGACTTTTACTTGTACATATTTGAACATATACTTGAGAATATTAAGACTTTTACTTGTACATTCATTAACTTTACTTGTTTGTGTAGAAGTATAAAATGGTTTAGGTATGGTATTTTATACTGGTTAGGGGAGCATCCCAATAGTGTCAAAGCTCAAAGCGCCCTTACACTCACAGTAAAAACCAAAGGAAAATAAAAATAATAAAGAGGATGGCTTCTATATCTCACTGTGTAGTAGCATTTCTTGGAGCTTCAACTTATGATCTTTTGATAGTCAAATATTGGAGTACGTGTTATGAAAATATGAACATTATCTAATTAATATTGGATATTTAGTTGTGAATTTAGTGGTAAATTATCCAAATATTATGTATATATTCTTGAAAATTCAATGAAAACATATTGTTAATACAGAAGGACCTTGTGCAAATGTTCAAGTGTGCCATATAGAAGGACCTTGTATTGTTAATGTAAGGAACTTGTCATGTTATTTGAAAATATTCAGCTTAACCGTATAGATCATGTGAAATATATGAACATTGCATTCTTAATAAATGAACTTTATGATGTTATATACAGACTTCCTATTATTCATAAACTTGAAAAACTTTTACAAATATTCAACATAACTTTGACAATGTGAAATAGATAAACATTATGTTGTTAATAAATGGACATTTTCTTGTTATATATGGACTTTCTATTGTTATAAACTTGAGAAACTTATGCAAAAATTGTAAAAACCAAAACTTGCTATCACCGAGTTGTGAATATTTGAAGAAAAAAATTATAGACTTTGAATTGTGAATAGCTGAACTCATGCTTGTGAATATTTGAACGTTTAGTTGTAAATTTTTGAACTTTGACAACATGTCAACTTTGAATCTTTGCTTGTCAAGTTATGAACTTTTACTTGCAAATATTTAAACTTGTACTTGTGAATATTAAGACTTTTACTTTTACATTTATAAACTTTGCTTATTTGTATAGAAATATAAAATGGCTTAGGTGTGACATTTTATACTACCTAATAGAGCATCCCAATAATGTCAAGGCTTAAAGTGCCCTTGTACTCACGTTGGGAACTAAAGGAAAATAAAAATAATATGATGAAGCATTAGAATGTGGTTAGTATTCTTCTAGGATTGTTTATGTGCTATCTTAAGTTGGTTTTTTTGTAAATGTATATATGACATATATTGTGATGTATGTTTGGAGAACATTTGTTGTAGTGTAAATGAAATTATTTGCAATAATCATTTATAAAAAATTTATCAGGTTTATGAATAACAAAAAGTCTATATATAATATAAAAAGTCCGTTTATTAACAACACAACATCCAAATATTTCACATGGTTCATATGATTAAATTGAACATTGGTAAAAGTTTTTCAAGTTTATGAATAATAGAAAGTCCGTATATAATATAAAAATATCCATTTATTAACAACATAATGTCCATTTATTTCACATAGTCCATGTGATTAAATTAAACATTTGTAAAAGTTTTCTAGGTTTATAAATAATAAAAAGTGCATATATAACGTGACAAGTTTAATTTATTAACAACATAACGTCCATCTATTTCACACGGTCCGTGTAATTAAGTTGAATATTTGTAAAAGTTATCAAGTTTATGAACAACATAAAACTCGTATATAACATGAACGTGTCCATTTTATTAGCAACATAATGTCTATTTATTTCACATGGTTTGTGTGGTTAAGTTGACTATTTGTAAAAGTTTTCTAAGCTTATAAACAATTGAAAGTTTGTATATAATATAATAAGATTCATTTATTAATAATATCATGTTCATATATTTCACATGATCTGTGTGGTTCAATTAAAAATTTACAAATAATATGATGAGTTCAACATATTAACAACAAAAGGTATTTCTACACGGCACACCCGAACATCTGCACAAAGGTCCTTCTGTATTAACAACATATTTTCATTAGATTTTTAAGAATATATACATCATCTTTCGATAACTTACAATTGACTTCACAACTAAATATCCAACATTAACAAGATAATATCCATATTTTCACAACACATAATTCAATCTTTAACTATTAGAAGATCAGAAGCTAAAGTTCCTGCAAATGCTACTGCACAATGAGATGTAAAAGTCATCCTTCATATTATTTTCAATTTCTTTTGGTTCTTGTTGTGAGTGCAATGGCCCTTTGAGCTTGGGATGCTCCATTAGTATAAAATGTCACACCTGAACCATTCTTACTTTTGCACAAATAAGCAAAGTTCATAAATGTATAAGTAAAAGTCCTAATATTCACAAGTACAGGTTCAAATATGTACAAGTAAAAGTTTATATCTTGACAAGCAAAGGTTTAGAGTTGATGTGTTCTTAAAGTTCATAAATTTACAACTTAACGTCTAAATTTTTATAAGCATAGGTTTAGCTATTTACAATTTAAAGTTAAAATTTTTTATTTCAAATATTCACAACTCAATAATGGCAAGTTCTAGTTTTTACAGTTTCTATAGTAGTTCCTAAAAACATCTCAAAAATATGTTTCTAAAGGAAAGATGAATAGACCAAAAAGAAAACTTACAAGCAATTTGATCTCTAGAGGTTTGATGTTAAGGAGCTCACTGGTGCTCATCTTGAAATAATAGCTATTGATATAAGAAGAATGATATGCAAAAGCTGTTCGAGGATGATAGTAGAGGCAATGAGATTGAGATGTACAGAATCTAGTTTTTGTATGTTGGTTCATTGTAAAAAAAGGTGGACAGATAGGTATAAAACAAGCTAGAGAAGGTATAAAAAAAGAAGGGCAAATAGATTGAGAAGATAGAGGAGGGAATGATATAATTGGAGAACTGTAATGCAATGTTGTAAGGAGGAATAGGAAGTCAAAGAGGAAGAGAAAGGAAGAGGGGAGGAGGAAGAAGATTAGATCGTGGAAGATTGGTTTGTTTTGGGAGAGGCAAATAAGTCTTTTCTCATTAAAACATATTTTTATCTACAACCGTCGGGCTTGGAAAGATATTGCAAATTGTATTGGGCCTTAAGTGTAATTTTTTCTTCCTTAAGGACCTAAGGTGAGATTCTCCCAATATATATATATATATATATATTTAATGGGATTTACCACAAATTAGAGCCTAGGAGTGTGTTTTAGTTGGGGATTTTTAGAGGGGAGGAAAGATGCTTTCCTCCCCTCATTTGGTTCAGAAATTTTGGAAGGGAAAGGAGCAAAAACTTCCCCTCCCCTTCCCTCATATTGCTCTCCTCCAATATGACCTAAACTATATAACCATCTTGCCCTTGATAACCCATCTCTTCACTAGTACTCCTCCTCTCTATTGTTCGAGTTGTAATGCATCATCCCCATTTGAGTTGCAACTCACTGTGACAACCATAACTCAACTAGTAACAATCATTCACATTTTTATAAATCAATTGAAACAAAATTAAATATCTAAATATAGTACCTTGGTGAGGGGGGAAAGAGAGCATGATAAATCTGATGGAGGGTGCAATCATGACTTGAGAAGATGAAGCAACTTGATGGGGTGAGTGAAGGGACAAAGCAAGGAGTAAAGAGTGAGAATGAGGGAGAGAAAGGAGGGCTAGAGAGTGATAGTGGGCCGAAAGAGACACATAAGGGAGTGAATGATTAAGGAAGAGCATTTTGTTTTAATATTTAGAAGAAAGCATTTATAAATATTGTAACCATCCTTATTTTTTTATTTTTAACCAAAAGAGCCATCCTTACTTCAAAGCCCTTTTTTGTAGTTACCTTTTTCCCCCTAATTTATATCTAATATGCATGGGTTACAAATAATAGTATATACGAGTATAATAGTAAATTAATTATTACTTCTCCTTCTTTCTCTTTCTAAACCAAACAAAATATTATTAAAAATTCTTGAAAAAAAATCACTTTGAATTCCTGTACTTTACTCGCATTTTGCTATAGGTTTTTATATATTTTTTGATATTTTAAATCCCTTCATGAACAAAATATAGAGACTTTGGAGGGACTTATAACACCTAAAAACAAAAGTGTAGAGACTTATAGTAAAATATGAATAAAATATAGGAATCTAAAGTTATACTCCCTTCGTCTTAAATTATAAGACACTTTTGAAGAAGTTTTTCTATTTCAAAATATAAGATACTTTGAATAGATTAAGGTTTAATTAAGTGCACCAATTTCAATATTACTCTTTCTCTTTCTAATTAATTTTCGTCCATTCTCTGTTCAATATATTAAATGATAGTTTATATTTTTATTTTAAAAAAATGATATTATTAAGTGTATTTAATAAAATTTATTAACATATAAAATTTTATTTAAAAATATTTTATAATTTAAAATAAAAGAACTATTGTTTTCAAAAAATTTTTATATTACTCTTTTCTTTCCTTTGAATTTTTTTTTGGGGTGCAATCAACTCCTTTTTTCTTGAACTAAACACACGGTAACTCGGTGTAATTAATTTTCATTTTAGTACAAGTTTTTGAGATGAAAATTCGCCACTCTTCTTGAGCGTTCTCTTCGCCTGCGTTGATCGTCCGTGGTTCAACAACTCCTCACACTCAAGCCTCAACTTTCTCCACCTGCGTAAGTCCCAAATTAAACCCTAAGATTTAACGGTTGCTCCTCAATGGATCAGCAATGGCGTTCTAGACCTATCCAAGGTAATGTTTGCCCTGTCTGCTCAATTCCTCACTTACCTTTTTGTCCTCCACCCTTCCCATATTATCCACCTTCTAGATTTCCTTTCGAAGGCGATCCCTCCTTTCAAAGACCAGCCTATCCAGGACCACCCGGAATGCACGGCTCCTATGTTGCCAACCGTAATGATGGGTTCGCTGATCCCAATTTCTGGCATAGAAACCCTAATTGGGATAAACCTTTACCTGGGCAACCGGCCTTCCAGTACCCTAGAGACAGTTTTAGGCGGCCACTATATGAACATAGCGCTCCTAACGATTACGTTGGTGAGGGTGATAGAAATTTCAAGAGGCCGAGGGTGGGAGATGATAGTTCTGGTTCTGCCATTTTCTCAAATGATTTTGATAAAAACCCTGCTAGAAACTTGTCGGAGGATGAGCGAAGATTGAAGTTAATTCGTGATCATGGGGTTGTTTTTAGTAAACCGCCTGAAGAGCAGAGTTTTGGCGGACCTGGGAGACTTAATCAGAACGGGTTTCATTCAGACGAAAATCAAGGTGTATTTCGCAGGGATGAGAAAGATGTGATTCCACATTCTGAAAATGGTGAATTTTGGCCATTCCAAAATGGTCAGCTCAGAATTTCTCAGCAGCACGTGTCTTGGCATCAGACTAATGATGCTGGGGTAGCACATAGACCTGGTTACTCTCCTAGGGATGGTTGGCAGGGGACTAATGCACCTTACCCTGAGCAGACTGCTAATGGTGATCCTAACAAACTGCTACAACAATCGTATGGAACACAGAAACATGTTGATGTCGGACATGATTTTCATTCCTCTGCTCAGTCAAGCAATGTAGCCCTGCCTGTTCACGAGTATAACTTTCCACCTCAGGAGGGAAATCAAACGCAAATTGGACGACAAGATATATCTGGAGTGTCTCAACGTGGTGCATCTAATTTGAATGGAAGAAGTTTCTACGGTCCCTATTCTTATGCTCCTGGCGGCAGCAATTATTCTGACAGCAGGAGTCCAATAGAGGCTTCAAGGATCTTTCATGGTCAACCTCCTCTTCCTTCTTCCCCGCCGCCGCCTCTTCCATTGGAGCCACCAATGAACCAACCTAGGGCACCTACTTCTCTTTTCCCTGTTTCTGTCAGTTCCTCAGCTGTGGCTTCTTCACCATATCCCAAAATTTCTGAAGCTCACTCTTTGCCTCAACCCAACTTTCACAAACCTTCTAAGCAGTTTTTGGGAGATGCCAAATCCTTTTCTATAAAGCAACTATCTGATGATAAACCTAAGTTTATCAATGCATCCCACTTATTTAAGCACCCATATCGAACTACTCGGCCTGATCACGTTGTGATAATCCTTCGAGGTCTTCCTGGTGAGTTCTTTTTTTGGGTATCATTTGTTGTTTATTTGTTTGCTGTTTTTGTCTGGGATTCCTTGAAAACCTGTTGCTTAATAATATTAATATTTACATTTGGAAGTAGGATATGGTTGTTTGTTTGTTGCCTTTCTTGATATAAATTCATCCATAGTAATCGTTAATGACGGTTTCATTTTGTGAAAGGTGAGAAGTGATACTAATTTCAAGATATTTATGTTACTCATCTTGTAAGCACCTAATATTGTATTTTATTGGGCTATAAACAGTTTTTGGTTATTTTTAGTTTGTTTACACTTTGTATGAGTGGGAAATTTTTCCGTGGCCACTTAGCTTGTTGCTGATTATTTTCTTATGTTAAAAACTTTACTGGATGTGTCATTTCACTTTCAGGTAGCGGGAAAAGTTACGTGGCAAAGATGTTGCGTGATCTTGAGGTCGAAAATGGTGGTGATGCTCCACGAATTCATTCTATGGATGATTATTTTATGACTGAAGTTGAAAAGGTTTATTAACATTGTCATCCTTCCTTTTACTTTTGGACGAGAATTATTATAATGCGTTCTTACCTGTTCGTGGTTTTGATTAGTTTTTAAAGGCCTTCTATTTGTTAAATTAATAGTGAATTCATCTTGTTTGAAAGGTTGATGATAATGATGCTTCAAAATCTTCAAGTTCAGGAAGAGGCAAGAAGCCTGCAATGAAGAAGGTCATGGAGTATTGTTACGAACCTGAAATGGAGGAGGTAACAATAGTCATTCTAGTATTTGCCTAATTAAACTTAAGGATCATGTATGTGCTAGTGTTTGAGGCTCTGTATTGGTGTCATTTAAATTTCAATAAGGAAATGCTAGTGGTTATCTGCTTATATTTGTTACATGAAATTTATGAAGTCCATAGTGCGTTGGTCAGGTTCAATCTCGCTTTGGAGAAATCAGTTGTATTTGTGGAAAGGGCCAGCAAGAGATTGAGAGAAAGCATTGTAGGATGGATCTTGTCAATTTTTCTGTCTGCTTTATACCCTTTTAAAATGATTTGCGTGATGGAATGCTTGAGTTATTAACAATGACTGTATCGATTTGAGAATTTGTGGGGATTGCTGAGTATATTTAGGGGTGTGGGTGCATTTCAAATTGGAATTTCAGTAATCTATGAGGACTAGAAGTTGGATGGTGAACGTAATAAAAGCAATGCTTACCAGTGATATGTAGCTAGTTTGCGTATTGGATGGTTGCATGGTGGATATTTGGCCAATGCAGCTTCATAGGAGGATTTTTTTTATCTGCGTAGGGGGTATTTGTCATCTATAAAGGTGATTGTGCAGAGGAAAAAAGGGAGAATTTCTAGATTTTCTGTTTAAAGCTCTTGGATAACATCAGATGACTATTGTGTAAAGTTAAATTCCACATTCACTTACGCCGTTTGTCTGTGGCAGGCTTACCGTTCAAGCATGTTGAAGGCATTCAAGAAGAATGTTGAGGAGGGGGCCTTCTCCTTTATAATTGGTATGCATTAAAAAAAAAAAAAGGAAAAACCTATAGCCAAATCGGTTTGTCTTCACTTTTGAGAGTATCATTATCATTTGATGTCATTGTTTTGATCAAGATGGAAATCATTGCATTATGTTGCGATTTCTTTGCTCCTTTGGTGACTTTGTTTATTTCTCCTTTATAGCATTTCACCTACTCATAGACTTGTTCTTCATTGGCGGATGTATTTATTTAAATCTAAATCTACGTAATTACTTTACTAAGGAAACTAAAGTAACATTAAAAAGGAAAAGCTTTATTAGGTTGATGCTAAATTCTTAACCACACAAGTCAGATGAAATAGCTGAGGGTTCTATGCTGGCTTGTTACAGAATTTAATAAGTCCAATGATGTAGTTTCGTTTTAGATAAAGTGGTGATGCAGTGCCCATGCACTGCATACTTTTCACTAACTACAGATGCAGTTTTGTTCGGCAATTGATCCTTTTCTTGGTGGTTTTTGTGCTTCGTCTTAGTGGATGACCGCAATCTGCGGGTAGCTGATTTTGCTCAATTTTGGGCAACTGCGAAGGTATACCCCTAATTCTTTCTTTTCACAGCCTTTCCCATGTGTGCTCAAGAGGACTCACAAAATCTTTAAAGATACTCTTTTACCCTTAGAAATAGTTGCAGACTTAGTTTTTAATATACCTGCTCTTGTCAAGCTCTGCATATAAAAGTCAGTACGTTCCCCTGATTTTACACACGGAAAATTTGTAAAACAAGGACTCAAAGAGGGGAGGAGTTATTTAACATTCTAAATGCTGATTTTACGCATGGAAAAATAGTAAAAGGGTCTCTTTCAAGAGGGGAGGAGTTATTTAACATTCCAAATGGGTTAACTTCAGATGATGTAGTGTTTGTGGAAATTGATAGCATACTTTTGGTGGTGACTGGCTGATTTACGTTTAAGTTTCTGCTTACTTGCAATTCTCATTTCTGTTCCTCTAGTCAAACGAATTATTTAGCCAGTATGATTGCCTTCAGATTGGTGATATAATTTCATAAAATTGTAAATATTTTTATTATTGGAAGTTTCTATAGATATGGGCATTTCTTTTATGATTTATTTCTTTCATGAGGTTGTCAATTTTGTGCTTCACAATGTTGTTTTGTTTGTAGCACTATATTAGAAGTTAATAAAGTGGCATCCTTGTAACTAGGATGAGCTGTGGCCTTGTTATTTTCATAGACTTCCTTGCTTTTTAAGTTGTCCTACTTTGAGGTTGTGTCAAAGCAATGGATGGAACAACTTTAACTCCACATTGTGGAGGTCATGACCAGTCTCTGTACCTCTGCTTTTTGAGAGCCGAGGTGCCTCATACTGATGGTCAATCCTTGTTGTACCTGAACTGAAAGCTGATTTAATTTGAAGTGTATGCATGGATCTCAGTGACCTCTGAACTATTATGATTTATGCCTGTTCTCATACCTGACTATTTTTGTGAATTTTGGAGCAGGCCTTTAAATACTTTTTGTGGGGTAATTTCTCAGCTCATGTTTACTTGTTTTCCTTTCAGAGATCAGGTTATGAAGTTTACATTTTAGAAGCTACTTACAAGGACCCTGCGGTAAATTTATTTATATGTTTCTTAGCATTGTTGACAAGATTATATTTTACTTTCAGCATTGCAGGATGGGTTTTTCCCCCTCTAATGAAATGTTGCTTTGATAATCTGTGTTGTGAATTCAGGGCTGTGCAGCTAGAAATGTACATGGATTTACACAAGAAGACATAGAAAAGATGGCTGGGCAATGGGAAGAAGCTCCATCCTTGTACCTGCAGCTTGATGTGAAGGTCAGTAAATGTAACATGCATATTTGAGATTAAAAGGTATAAATGTTTGGCACAATCAGGCCATGACATAAATTTTCAAGGCTTAAATGATGTCTAGAACTCCTGTTTGGATAGTTTGAGTCTTCATGTTCTCTAATCTCCAATTTTACTGGTTTGATTTGACAGTCATTATTCCATGGTGATGATTTGAGGGAAAGCAGAATTCTAGAGGTTAGTATAACTTATGCATCTATTTTCCTGCTGGTCTATGATGTAGAATTTGAATCATTGAGTGCAAAGGATCAGCATTTACATGTATTTTTTCGCTTTGCTTTAATAGTTTGAGATTATGGTACGAGGTCTGGATTTCTCTTGTGATACTGGTATAGATTTTGTTTTTTGTATGCCGGTGCAGACACCTTCCCTTGATTTTCTTGACATTGTCAAGTTTGTTTTCTTTACAATCTTAATACTTTTTAGTAGTTTACTTGTCTCCTTAATTGCATTATTTTTAACATTACATGCATTTTTAGCTAATATGACAACTTGCATACAAGTATGAATATCATTTCAAGTAATATGGAATTCAATAAGATTGTTCCTTGTGAACTTGATTAAAATATAATGTGCCATTTTCAAGAAACATCTTAGTTGAATCAAGCTGATTGTATGTGGATAGTGATTTCCAAAAATTGCAGCATTAAAGAGACGTGAAATAGAGTTTCTGACTCTAGTTTAGCTATGTGAGACTAGTTGGTATATTCTTTTCCTATCAGCAGAGCATTCAACTTAATTCAACCAGTATCATGTACCCACACTCCACAAGGTCCACCCTGATCTTCCTTTTCCAAAGTCAATTAGAAGACCACAACTCAATTGGAGGTCAATCAATGAAGTAGCATGAATAATATGATTGAGCAAGAGTATAAATACTATGAATGATGGATTAAGGAAGATAAAAAAGCTCTAATCGATATTCCATACTAGATTTCATAATATCTCATGCCAAAATCATTTAGCTACTCATCATAAAAGGTTTCAACACTAGAAACATTGTATTTATCAGATTCATTATGGAAACGATTATAAAAGATAAATTGAATAAAATGAGATGAATTTGTCTTCTCACGTCCTGCACCTCTTCTTGGTCCTGGATGATGCTTTGGAATGCTTCCTTTGCCTCTGAATTTTTCTTAGGAAACTCTACTGACCTTTGCGCCTAGATTTCCTCCATTTTATCTGTTGCAAAATTAGGTTGAAAGTGATGAACTTAAAGAACGTTGTGTTATAGGCCGGAAAATTGATCCCTAATGTCCCATGATCATTTGTTCAATATGTAATGGACTATGGTATACCCACTTAAAATACTAAAATGTGAAATTGAACTAGGTCAATCATCTAATTAAAAACCAACGGAAAATTACCAACTTCTAGAAAAACTCTACTGATGCTAGCCCATGATTATGTAAAAAACATCCTGTAAAATTGACAGTTGACACGTATATTTATTTATTTTTAAGTTTTGGCTCAAATCCAATGTTAAAATAACTAAATTGTTGAATGATCACTCTTCCATTCATTGATCGTCTTGTTCTTTTAGAAGAGTGGTGTGTTGTTTGATGTTTAATGGCTTGTAATTTGTTAGTGAGATAAGGCTTGTTGTTATTGTTGATGATGATGATGTCTTTGCCTCTTTGGGTGATTTAACTGTAATAACTAGTCTTATTGGTCAAATATTTGTGCTTGCCTTTTCCTGTCTCATTGATGAGGTCAGGGTATCCTAGGATTATCTCGTCTTACCATTGTAGTGAAGTCGGAAAGATGGGACGTTCAACTTACTAGTGAAACCCTACTTAGCATTCTTCCCTTATGCAAGGGCTATACTTTTGGCCAGGAGATTGACAAATAAAATAAATAGTGCTGGTCAAGTACTCTTTAGTTATCTGAATTCTTCACGAAAGATGCATGAATATTTATAAGTGAACACGTTTATTAAACACGTTTTTGATGGCTCACCATGAGTGCTGGTTTCACGTGTCATATACTTCAGGTAGATATGGATATGGAAGATGATATTGGTAATACCTTACCTGTGGTGCAAGGAAGAGAGGATGGCAAAATTGTAGACTTTCCTTTCAGGGATGATACTAGTGATGGTAAGGTCTGACTCTTGGTTTTGGCGTTGTCTGAATTGCACCAGGTGTGCTTTAACCTGTAGTCTGCTACATTTATAGTTCTGTGTGTTATTTGTGTTTTAAATTTAATCTCTTCAGTGTTTTAGTCCTTTAATGTGTTAAAGCCAGAGGTATTAGAGATGATTTAGAGATGAAAAAGTGTTGTGATAGAAGAAAAGAGAAGATTCTTTAGAATATTTAAGAGTCAGAATCTAAATAATAATATAAAGCCGGGAACTAGGAAGATGAAAAAGTGTTTTAGTACTGAATATGCTTCATTCATAAGCCATTCTTTAAACCATACGAGTCCTAATAAATATAACCACACACGATAGTCACAAACGAACCTGTTATGTTAAATAAAGTGAACACATTGACTTTAAAACTTCATTTCCAACCTTTCAAAAATTGTCTGACCTTTCTCCTCCATATTCTAGGTTTCTTACTGGAAGGGAAGAGATGGGATGCTGAAGAAGAACGTCCAACAGAAGTCAGGGAATTAGGCAAGAGCAAATGGTCAGAAGAGTTTGATGAAGTTGAGAATGAACGAACTGAAGGGGGGAAGGGCAACATTAGTGCTCTTTCTGGGTTAATTCATACATATGGCAAGGAAGGAAAATCTGTACATTGGGCTGATCAGGTATTATATGGATTTGGTGCTTCTCTTTTTCCTTTTTAGTTTAATTTGAAGTGCATATTGAAGTCTTTTCCATTCCATATCACTTTCTCCATTTAAAAATGTAAGGCATTTTTAATCGAATCTCACCCGTCAATAAAGTAGTTACATACTTTCAAACTAACCCTATCTTTTCATATTTACCTCTATTAAATAACTTACAATAAATATAAAGTCACTATTAATGGAGGCACTTTTGAAAAAAAGGCAATAATTATACCTTGAAAGATTAAAAATGTCTTACATTTTTTAACGGAGGGGGTATATATTTGTAGGTTATTGCACTCCCCTTTGGGCTCAAGTTCTTCTAATATCATATATCTTGTTGCCCTTTTATTTTATTTTATTTTTTTTAACTGGACATCTTTTAACATTTCGTTAGTCTCAGTATATATCTCCCTCTTATAATTTTCCTTCAGGTTGGTGATAGAGGGTTTTCTATAGGTGCTACAAAGAAGGCAAATGTTTTGTCTTTATTGATTGGACCTGGTGCTGGGTACAATCTGGTCAGTTTGACAATCATGCTTCTTAATTTTTAGGATATGTTTTAATCTTCCTTTTCTGTTTACTGTTATCTGATCTGCATTAAAATAATCCTTCTGAGCAAGAAGATATTTGGTTATGACTTCCACTTTTCCCCCATAGCACCACTTGTTTTTGATAGAAAAAATTTGTTTTGCCCAAAAAAAAAGAAGTTTTATTTGGAAATTTTTTCCAATTGATCCAAAATTTTATTCAATTTTCAATTTTTATAATAAAAATTTTAAAAAGGTAGTGAAATTTTAATAGGAAAAGAAGTTTAGAAAGGTGAAGAAATCATATTTGTTCTTCAACTTGGAACTACATCTTGGAAGGGGGGGGAAACAAAACAAAACAAAAAAACGGAACTATCATCATGCTGCTTGAGATACACAAGCATGTGTGTGTGGGTGTGCACATTTACATGCTCGCTAATAGAGCCCACATATATGCACACACTGGCACGCACTCATGCACATGTCCTCTTACAAGTACACACACAAATACACGTACATGCAAGTATGTATATTTACAGATATACTCAAATGCATATGAGCAAGTACATGCCAACACATGCTTACATGCAAATGTATTTACACACACATGCGCCTGGTCTCTACTGTTTTGTTTTGCCATGGTCACCTACCACTTGGCCGCTACTACTGTGGATCATCTGCCACTTTTCTCCCCCACGTAATCCTAATAGACAATAGAATTTTTTCTGTGAAATTATTTCATTTTAGGAAAAAATTTTCAAATGGGAGGTATTTTGAAAAATTTTCATTTTCTTATGAAACACAGCTCATTAGAAGTTATTTTCCTTCACGAACTTGGTTCTCCAAAATAAAGAAATTTGTGTGTTGTTGTTTTGGGAAAATACCTTTCGAGCAGAGTTATGTTATGTATTGATTTGCAGAAATCAAATCCGTTAACTGAAGAGGAGATTCCAGCAACCCATAACAGTGCAGAGACAAGGAAGTGCAGCACATTCCAAGAAAGAATCCGGGCTGAGCGTGAATCCTTCAAAGCTGTGTTTGATAGAAGACGGCAACGAATTAGTGGAATTGATGTTGATGAGGACTGATGGAGAATTCTGGAAATGTGAGAACGAGAAGTAGAATTGCTTGTCTGGGGTAAAGAGAGAATATAGTCTCAGCGTCGGCTTCTGATTCAATTTTCTTTCATTCAATTATTGGGTCATAGCATCTAGGGGATGAGTTTGCAAAGAAGGACCAGAAAGGAAGTTGGAGAGAAATAGGAGTCATCTTTGAATGTTTTTCGAGGGGTTATGCACGGGTGATCTGCACCTACTATTGTCATCTTTTAGAGGAATTCTGTTCCTGAAGATTTTGTAGGTCTGCATTGCTTGGGCTTCCTTCACGTCTGCTATTCTCATGTTTGATATCCACTTAAGGGTGAAGACGGGACTGGGAGGGAGTTGGGTTGTGTTCTGATGCTACTAAGCAGAGTTTGCTGTTCTCTAACAATGAATTTTGTAGTGCTGCTAAGTGGCGTTTTTTACTGGCCTTTCTTATAGGCAAACTTAGATCACCATTTGCCTTTCGCCCTCTGATATTAGCCAAGCGGGACAGCAATCAAGGACCAGAGGCTGGTTTTAGTGAAGAAAAATGGAACGAAGGGATTTTTTTGACGTGTAGTTTTGATAGGATTAGGATATAACGCTTGCCTTCAAAGGTTCCAGCTTGTTTAGGGCGTCTGTTCTAATGTCTGCCTCTGATACATATTAGCTTCTCACTGTATCTCAGCTTACTCTGTAGAAAAACGGTTCTCCGGTGGCTACAGTGGATATCTCTTAGCCCCCACTCTAATAGCTTTGTTGAGCATGGATTCATGACAAAATCATAATTATCCGTTTTGATACCTGCAGTTGAGCAGAAAAGCAAATGTTTGTATGCTTGATGACGCATAGATTCATGTGTCTTCTTTGGAATATGATGGTGGAGAATTCATATACAAGTCGACTGAACTGTGAATTTCGGCCCTTCTTAAAAATGTTGTCGCTTTCTAATCACAAACAGTTATGATTGGCATTCATCCCATATTAAACGAACTCAAGCTGCTGAGGGCAACCAAAATTCTACTCGCCTAACGATAATAACTGGTGTCAATTCTTTTTTTTTTTTTTAAAAAAAAGAATTGCATGTACATAGATGCACATTCAATTGTTGTCTTTATTTAGGAAGGGGGGGTTGGTGTTGTGATTCACTTGGTGTCAATTCTGATTTGAAAGATATGCCCTGGAATAGGTGTGAAGCAGGGATTTAAGGTCTAAACTGAATGCAATGCCCATTACAGTTCGTGTACGGCTTTAATTACAGAAACTGGTTTTGTAGCTTCGAAATGAACTGTCCCGTTTAGAGCGGCGCTTCATCTTGGACGGAATAGCTGTGTTCCGTCTAGTTCTTTGTGCGGAGGCTCTTGTATTTTTCCTGATATAGCATTGTGTGGGAGAAAAACGAATGCTATTCGTTATATACATTAATATTTTAGAAATATGTATATCTAAATTCATCTAATCACTTCTTCCTCAGCTCGCAACTCACGCTAGAAAGGGAAGAGAGAAGAAAGTGAAAACGACCCTGGAAGTAGAGGAGACAGAGTGTTGGGGTGATATGTGTGAAAGCATCAACATGGCTGGACCGGCAGGCATTTGAGAGCGCCCGCAAAGCGAGTTAGGGAGGCAGCCATGGCGCCTGGTTTTGCAGCGACGTGATTAGGAGGAAGTGGAGTGGGTGTTCCAGACTGGGTGAAGAAGGCCCCATTCGTGAACAAATACCCCTCCGATCTCCAATTCCAATTCTTCCACACACTCGGAGGCGCATGATCCCTCTTGGTCACCTGCATGATCCACATACACGTCATTATGATCGGTGAGATGGTGATCGCCGTGGAACCTTGGATGGCATCTATCAGCCCATCGTCGCAGTTGAACAGCGAAACGTGATCGATCCAAACATGGATATTCCGTCGCCGTCGCTCTGCGTCCGGGTCCCGAAGTGATCAGCAGAGTCAGATCATCCCGCTGCTTCGCCTTTTGTTGCCGTGAACGTGAAGCCCGTGAATGATGACGTTCTTCGCGAACTGGATCGTGATCTGAGCTCCGTTGCTGATATGAACGTTGGCTCCCCGTGCGTCTATGGTCTTGTCGCTGGTCACCATCAGCTCTTGGCTCAGAGTTATGACCATGCTGCATGCGAACGTGATCCACAGTGGCTCTGGTTGGATCACAGCGTATCGTAAGGCCCCTGGTTTGGGGTCGAGAAGGTTGTCATCGGAAGGGTCGGTGACGACGTAGATCTTGCCAGCTTTGCCGCCGGTGGTACCACGTCCGAAGCCGATGGCAGAGTCGGCGAGCTTCTTGCGGTTGTTGGCCCAGTTTTGGTCGCACCTCTATCATTGATCGACAGGGTTGGTGGCCATGCATGGACTGTCGTATTTTTGGGTTTTCTCAGCCAAATCCCTTCTCATCGTGTTGGTGATACCTTCCATAGCTCTACCATGTCACAATTGAGATGCGTACTTACAACTTATCAGATTAATTCGAAGATAACATTTATGCTGAACTGAACAAGATATATGATTCAAACATGTTAATCCCAGAGACGGTCAGAGATTCATACAAGTGAACGTGGTGATTGAAATCTGCAGTGACTTGGAGAGGATCGGACTGGTAAGCTTCTTGGGCTGCTCTCCTGGTTTCCTCAAATCGCCTTCGCCATACTTCATCGTACTCTCCTCTCGTCCTTCCTATTGCTACTGCACATATCAACACTATCCTTAATGTCCTGTTTCCTTCCATTGATCAATTTTCTTCTTCTTCACTCTAAATATTCCATCTTAATTTAATTTATCTTCTGATCAGGTTCCATTAAATATTGTGCCATCTATATCTTTTACATCAACTCATCACGGCAGCCACAAATCTATGTGCAGCAAAAAAAAAAAAAAAAAAAGATGCCAAATGAAGCGCCGTGAGGGAATATAGCAGAGCCTTCAGTTTCTCCTCAGCACCAAGTCTCTCCTGTAGTTGTTCTGTGTATACACGAAATTGTCCCGACGTTGTTTTGTTTAATTAGGAACATAACCCCTCACTTTAACAACTAAACACAAAGGTTTAGTGCCAAAACAAGAGAGATTTGCTGTCATTCGTTAGTCATAATGGAGCTTAATTTTATGTGTTTGTGTTGTAGGTAGGATTTTATTTTGTACATGTAGAATTCACACGTCAAATTCTACATGTTAAATTTGGGGCTTTAACCACACTAGCAAGAAATAATATATATTAAAGACTATTCTTAATCATTTAGGTTTCATTATTGTTGCTTTTCAAGAAAATCATAAGTCTCGCGGGCTTTATCATATTATATGATTACATATTAATTTTTTTAATACAAAATCACAGAAAAAATCATGTAAAATAGAGACAGTTGAAATCATGTCAATGTATAAAAGATTTACACATCTAGGTAATGAGGTGTCAAAAATCTTAACGTTTGTGTTATTTATAAAAGTTTGGTGTGCTAACTAATAAGTGCAATTATTTATAAAGATGTATTCAAAAGTGATTTTCTAATCTTTTATAACAAGTTTTTTTATCTTGTTGAGCTAATGGATGATTTTCAAAGAACTCACTTCAAATGAATGTGAGTGCTTTAACTTCAAGAGAGCAAGAGCAAACATCAACTTTGTCAAACTTCTCATTCCACTGAATGTTGAGAGGCCTTTAAGAATACCTATGATTTTTATGGTAATGTTTGGGTCATGGCCAATATATTTTAAAAAGCTCTTAACCCAATTTCGTTAGTCATCCCAAATGAACCCACTATAGGCAACAGTGCCGTAGTTGTTGACAGAGCCGCTAATGCCAAGTTGAGCCAATTACATATTAAATTGAAACACCTTCATATATGTATGCATGCCTTGCTGCTTTGAAGGAGGAGTTTCGGTTATATATTAAATTGAAAGACCTTAAAAGCAGCAAGGCATGCATATACGAAAGATTCCTGAACAAACGATGGGTGCCTCACTGCCTCCAATTTAAAATGTGTGCAAGATGCTGAGACGCATACAAGATTGTGGCCTAATGGTCCAAAACCAATAAACAAAAGAAAATGCCCTTTGTTTACCTTAAATACGGGCATCCTCACTTCATGTTAAGAATCATGCCAACCAATCAGATGCTCAAAATCATCCATGTTCAATACAGAGAAATTGAGGAGTTACATGTGCATCAATGTGATAAACTTGACACAGTTTAATAGAAGGGGAAGAAATTCAGAAAAAAGGCAGATTGAGAAGTAGAAAGTAAAAACCATAAAGAGGTTGGTCCAGAGGGAAGGGGTGGGCAGGAGCTTCCCAGTAAATAAAGGCAGTAAATAAAGGCGAAGCATGGGATAGGAGCAAGGGATATACTACTCTTAACCGTACTTGAAAAGGGCTGCACAACACGAGGCTATATATATATATATATATATATAAAGATTATGCCTCTGTCCTCAAAATCTTCCCCCATAAAGTCTTCTTCTGACAAAATGACCTCTCATAGGGATGTTGTCGCAATGGCTAGCTAGTTCCAACTTCAATATGTCAAATTTCATAATACAAATTATTCTAAAATAAGCAACATTTAAAAGGTGGAAGGAAGGATCAACTTGATGCTCTCCTAATCTTTTATCATTAAACCCAAGCCTTATCAATTCTGTTTGTACTTGCAAATGATCATCCCGAATTTTCCGAAAACAACCATACGCCTTTCCCCTCTCCTCCTTATGAGTGAGTGATCTTTCTTAAAAATTTTATCATAACTTTTTTATGTTTGATAATAAATCTAATTTTAAAACATAATCATTGTTATTAAAATTACTTGCTTAATATTTTTTACATAATAATAATAATAATGAGCCATTAAAAAAAACAAAGATGAGGAATGTGAAGTAGAGTGAAAACTGAATACCAATGTTTTGAAAACCGAATCAGATCGATCCGATCGTCGACTAGTCTGGTTTTCAGTTTGGTTCAAAGGAAAAAAAACTGTTTTAAGAGTTAAGTCAGGCTGAGCCGTTTCGAACCGACGATCGAACTAGAAACCAAAATCAAGTGGGAAACCAGATTTGATTTTTAAAAACCAGACTATTTAAAAAAAATTAAATTTTTTATCAAATTTTTTTAAAAAATAATTAATTTTTTTAATCATTTGATATTATGTTATATTATGTAGTTTGTTAAATTATGATAAACTTACAATATTTAATTTTTTTAAATTAAATAATAATTATATATATTTTTTATATTTAAATTATTATATATATAATTTTTTTAATTTAATTATTATATTATCAAATGAATCATTAATTCAAGTCGGTTGAATCATATGAACTGTAAATTGCTGATTTTTTCAGTTTAATATCCGGTGCAGACGTGAAAACATTACTGAATACTTCTTTCGCGCGCAAGATCATGGAATAAAATAAATGAATAAACAAATAATAAAATCTCACCTTCAAAAATAATAATAAATAAATCGCCCATGCAGTTGAAAAGCAAGCCCCCTGGCTTGTTCTCTCTCTGCTCGGCGCTATCAACGGCCACTGTGTCTCCAAAAAGCCTGAAATCTTGGGCTGTCATTCTAGACCTGGCCGGAGAGCCAGCCTAAACTACGTCCCACACATTCCCCACAATGACAACATGACGACGTCCCCTCAGCCGCCGACCACCGTCAGGAAGGTCGTCGTCGAAGTAGTGGACGCCCGTGATCTTCTTCCCAAGGATGGCCAGGGAAGCTCCAGCCCTTACGTCATGGCAGAGTTCGACGGACAGAGAAAAAGAACCACCACCAGATTCAAAGAGATGAACCCAGTTTGGAACGAAGCCATCGAATTCATAGTATCTGACCCGGATAATATGGAGTTCGAAGAGCTAGAGATCGAGCTCTTCAACGACAAAAAGTACGGGAATGGGGTTGGTCGTAAGAATCAGTTTCTGGGTAGAGTGAAGCTGTACGGTGCCCAGTTTGCAAGGAGAGGGCAAGAGAGCTTGGTCTACTTTGCGTTGGAGAGAAAGAGCATGTTTAGCTGGGTTAGGGGCGAAATTGGCCTCAAGATTTACTACTACGATGAGTTGATTCAGGAGCAAACGATCCCACAGCAGCAACTTACAGTGACAGAGCAGGATTGGACGAAGACGAAGACGAAGATGAAGACGAAGACAAAATCGCCTCCTATTGTAATGGTTGAGGAAGAAAGGGTTTCCGAGGATCCTGGTCCCATCGAGCATGGCGTACCTGAAGAGCATTCTCAATTGCCTCCTGTTGTGGCTACTGAAGAAGAAAAGGAAGAAGAAGAATCGACGCCGCAGGTGTTCAATCTTCCTGAAGATCAACTGTTGCCAGAAACGGCAGGTGAGACTGTTTCAGAGATACAATACCCTCCGGAAGTGAAAATTTTGGAGGCAATTAGAATGCAAGGGGACAGAGCGAGAAACTCGAATAAGCCTAACGGAGGTGATTACACTCGGCGGGCTGCGTCCGCCAGGACTGCTGGCGAAGCATCTCAGAGAGTTCCACGGCGTGATTTTGTGGAGCCGATGCAGTACCTGTTTGTTAGAATCATTAAGGCTCGTGGGCTTGCTCACAATGATAATCCCTATGTGAAGATTCGTACGCCCCGTCGCTTCGTCAGATCAAAACCTGCGAGTTACCGGCCCAAGGACCGTCGTGACTCGCCGGAGTGGAACCAGGTGTTCGCGCTGGGATACAACGCTGATTCTAGGAATGCGAATTTAGAGATTTCGGTTTGGGATTCTCCAACTGAGAAATTTCTTGGAGGTGTTTGCTTCGATCTTTCTGATGTGCCAGTTCGGAACACTCCTCGTAGTCCCGTGGCTTCACAATGGTACCACCTAGAAGCCGGCGCCTTCGGTCAAGGTTCCACCAAGATTGCCGGCGATATCCAGCTTTCCATATGGATAGGCAACCGATCTGATGATGCTTTCCCAGAGGCTAGGAGCTCCGACGTTCCATATTTGGCTCACACTCGTCCCAAAGTGTACCAATCCCCAAAGCTATGGTACCTGCGTGTGAACGTGATCGAAGCTAGAGACCTCAACATCACTCCCAATCTGCCTCCATCGACGCCGCCGGATATTCGAGTCAAGATCCAACTGGGTTTTCAGTCAGCACGAACGACGCGAGGCTCCATGATGAACCGCTCCAGCATTTCATTCCACTGGAATGAGGACCTCTTATTCGTTGCCGGCGAGCCTTTGGAAGACCCCGTGATCTTGCTAGTAGAAGCACGTACCGGCAACGAATTCGGCCTGCTGAGCCACACTGTAATGCCGCTGAGTTCCATCGAGCGACGCATCGATGAGCGCCACGTGGCACCGAAATGGTTCAACTTGGAGGGTGGGTCCTACAGTGGGCGTGTCTATCTGCGTCTGTGCTTGGAAGGTGGGTATCACGTGCTTGACGAAGCGGCGCACGTGTGCAGCGACTTCCGACCAACGGAGAAGCAGCTTTGGAAGCCGCCGATCGGAATTCTAGAGCTGGGCATCCTGGGGGCTCATTCTCTTCTTCCCATGAAAACCAAAGGTGCAGGAAAGGGGTCCACCGATGCTTACTGTGTGGCCAAGTACGGGAAGAAGTGGGTCCGTACTCGGACCATCACGGACAGCTGTGATCCACGTTGGAACGAGCAGTACACGTGGCAAGTATACGACCCCTGCACCGTGTTGACTGTGGGGGTGTTTGACAACTGGCGGATGTTTGCTGACGTGTCAGAAGACAAGCCCGATGGTCGTATGGGCAAGGTTCGAATACGAATCTCCACAATGGAGAGCAACAAGATATATACGAATTCATATCCTCTGATGGTATTATCAAGAACCGGGTTGAAGAAAATGGGTGAGATTGAGCTAGCGGTCCGATTCACCTACACGTCTATTTTGCCCGATAGATTCCGGGTCTACGGACAGCCATTGCTTCCTCGAATGCATTATATCCGGCCAATTGGGGTGGCGCAACAAGAGGTCCTCCGCGGGGCAGCCACAAAGATGGTGATCCAATCTATGTCTCGGGCGGATCCACCGTTGGGTCATGAGGTGGTTCGGTACATGTTGGATTCCGACTCGCACAATTGGAGCATGAGGAAAAGCAAGGCCAATTGGTTTCGGATCGTGGGCATTCTAGCGTGGGCTTTCGGGTTGACAAAATGGCTAGACAATATCAAAAGGTGGAGAAACCCAACGAAAACAATGTTTTTTCATCTTATATATATCGTACTTGTTTGTTACCCAGACTTGATTGTCCCTTTCGTATTCTTATACGTGGTCTTGATTGGCATTTGGTGTTACCGGTTCAAGCCTAAGATACCAGCCGGGATGGATACCCGAATGTCACAAGCTGACACGGTCGATCCTGACGAGTTAGATGAGGAGTTTGACACGATCCCAAGTTCAAAACCGCCCGATGTAGTTCGGATCCGGTATGACAGGTTACGGTTGGTGTCAGCCCGGGTCCAGAAAGTGTTGGGTGATCTTGCCACCCAAGGGGAGAGAGTACAAGCCTTGATGAGCTGGAGGGACCCCAGGGCCACAAAATTGTTCATCGGGGTGTGTTTGGTAATTGCAATGATAATGTTTGTGGTGCCAACAAAAATGGTGGCCGTGGCTGTAGGATTCTACTACCTTCGTCATCCCATGTTTAGGGATCCAATGCCGCCGGCCAGCTTGAATTTTTTCCGGCGACTCCCAAGCATGTCCGATCGGTTAATGTAGATTAAGGGGCTGTACTTTTGTACTTGTCCTTTTCTGTTCTTTTTTGCCTTAGTGACTGACAGTGACAATTTTTTGAGACGTGAAAATCTGAATAGGGGAGCGAAAGACAAGGGAAAGAAGGTGAGACAAAGAATCAACTATTAAGGATTTGAAAAAAGGTATGGGGAACATGGGGGAAAGTGACCAGTTGTCATCACGGTTTTTTTTTTTTCTTTTGAGATTATCGAATGGATTGACTGTGTCACTATTCTACAAATATGAGAGCTCATATATAGTGGGCCAAGAGCCAACTTTAAAGTGGGTGGAAAATTTTCGGATTTCATGTTTGAGAAAGCAAACGCCTTGGATGTATAATATAATATTGGAAGTTGGAATTCCTTCTAACTTTTGAATACCAGAAAAGAAGAAAAAAAAAATATCTGCATTTACAGCCCCTTTTCTGCTCCACTAGATACGTTCTCTAATATCAGTCCGGTTTCTGGTTGGTTTTGGAGTCAAGATGAGTTTACTTTTCCCAAAAAGGCTTCTTTTCAAACGCGCTGAGAATGGAATGATTACATTTGTTACTGTTCATGAAGAAAATGAGTCAAGTAACATTCTGTTTTATTTTATTTTATGTATGGACTTTTTACAACCAATGTAAAACAACATATTTTAATTTTTGCGTTTGGCCTATACAAATTCCAGCTTTAAGGGTATGGTTGGATAATATTTTAACTTAGGTTAGGGTGATTCAAATTTGAGTCGAAATATTAAAAGTTTAATAAATATTGTTTGAATAAAAAAAATAATTAGCATTGAAAAGCAAATGATCATTTAACGTGAACGTGAAGTCATGAAAGATGACTTCTGAAATGCAGCGGTGGTATTATGGAGAGAAGAAAAAGAAAAGCCATATAAATAATTTACTAACCTAATTTTTTCACAATGCCATGCACGAAACTCATTTTCTAATGGAAGGGTACTTTTTTTTCATAAGCATAAAAAACTAGACGTGAGTTTTATGCTTTATATTGAAATATTATAATTCATTTTTCAATTAATTAGATGAGATTAATTCATTGGCAATATTATAATTTTTTTAAATTTTATGTATAAATTTGAATTAAGAAAACTGATAGTCTAATTTAATATTTTGTAAATTATCATTTTATTCTAACTTCTAAAAGTTTAAGGTTTTTTAATTTGTCAATTTATTTTATCTTTTAAAATTGAATATTTTATAATTTATAAGTGAATTAATGAGCATTTTAGACCTTGAGGCATTACACAAAAAATATTCTAGATCCTGAACTTACAAGATGTGTAAAACATACCTTAAATTTTTAAATTCATAACAAATAATATTTATTTATTTAATGGTAAAAATTTAAAATTTTATTTTAAAAAAAGCTTAAATATTAGATAATTTTAATTAGTCGGTTAATTTGGGTTTAAAATTTGTTGATGAAATCATCAGCTTTTGCATTCATTGTCTGTAAAATCCTCTAATACTTAAACTTCTTTTTAAATAGGATCCCAATTTTTCACTATTAAATAAATAAATATTATTCAAAATAAAACTAAATCTCAACTGAATATTTAAGATTTTTTACTTATTAAAAATAATTTATGAATTTATTTTATCTTTTCATAATTAAAAATATGAGATTTTTTACATACTAATTGTAATTTTAAGATTATTATTTTTTACTTATTAATTAGTCAAAAATATATACAAAAAATTTATATTTATTTTTATTATTAAAAGTCTCAACTGGCTTTTGAATTAAATCATCCAAACAAATTTTAATTTATCTAATTGATTTTTGACCAAAAAATATCCAAATATAAATCATATTATATTAATTAATTTTTTTAACTTCAATTTATTAATTTTAATTGAATTCTAACTTCAATTATAAATTTGTAAATGCAAACACAATAAGTTTTAAAGAAATAATAGTTCGAATAGCATTTGATTCTTACCGCGAGAACTCCAGGATCAAATCCACATGTGATTAAAAATATTGTGTGTGGGTGTGCTGTATGTGCGTGTAAGACCTCCTTGCCTGTGTAAAAGGGTTAAATAAGATGCCAAAAAAAAAAAAGAATCATGAAATTGGCGGGAAAAAAAAAACTGCCCGCTGAAGGAGTGCTGTGTGACAGTGTGAGTATGTGTGGACGCGTCTGAAGGAAAAAGAAAAACTGTAACCACATGATAGCTGCGCTCTACTGTCTTACACAGAGATTTGAAATCAAAGCCAAGCTCTTTCTGCAGCTTTTACTTTTGACTTTCTTGGGCCAATCACCAGTGTCACAATTTAAGCGCCACACGGTTCCACAGAAGGAAGAACACTGCATGGCCACTTGGGAGCATATATAATTCTCACTTTTTCAGAATATTTTGACATCCTTCATTCATTTCTGTACATACCACGAACACATTATTAATGCCTGCCCCAATATAAATAACTTTCATGATCATGATAGGACTGTCAAATGGGGTCATGTGTCAAAAAATTTTGAACTTAAAATTCAAAAAAAAAAATTAAAATAAATTTTAATGTTCAGCATGATAACAAGTTTACTATCTCAGCGAATGGGACAGGGGAAAATTAGGTCATTTAAGGTTAAATCTGGATTCCCACATTAGAAAGAATATCTTGGAAACTAATTTTGCGAAGTGCATGACATCCAAGCTCGTCTTGGAAACTAAACGATTATTCATGTGCTTCTATGTAAAACTAATTATGAAAAAACAGACATATTAATCATTGATAATAAACATATAGTAATAATTAATACATTAAAATTTGTTTTAATATTCATGTATTTCCCCTTGCTCTCACCTGAGGCTCTAAATAGTCAAAAATATTGAAGCAAAACCAAAGACAGAGGAGCAAAAACCCGGGGTGGGGGGGTTACTAATGGTTATCCTACAGAAAAGCCTGGTATATTTATCTATAGTAAAGTTTAAGAAGGGATTTTTTATTTTTTATTTTTGTTAATGGCTTGCAATGTGTGGACATTAGCATTCTGCGCTAAAACTTCTGCAAACTTAAAAATTAGTGTACGAGAATTGATTATTCTGCTCCACCAATGACAAGTTCGTTGGGAGCTGCTCTCCAACTTGTTTAAGCATATTTAAGGTTGCAACTCGATCTTTCCCACCTTATCATAAATATCAAGTGATTTAAGACACCAGGTAATGTGTTCTTCCATTTGTTTAATCCAGTTTTCATGCATGCGCCAGAACGTCCTCTAACTTTCTAAACCATATTCAATTTGGTTGTCTAAGTATTGTAAAGCACACAATAATGTTTCCTTCTTTGGTGTTGAACAAGTTGCATTAATTTCTCTCCTTCAATATCCCTAGTTAGTTGACAATAGACCTTTTCCCAAACCAAAGGTATCATCAAATTTCTCCTACAATAAGTTTTCACAAGCATCAACTTGGTCACTGTACGCTTCCTTACATTTTACTATTTGACTTTCTCAAAGAGAAGGGAAAGGTACAAGTCTAATTTTTAATTCTGTCAAAAAGAAGTTTCTGTAAAATTTCAAACTAAAAAGAGTGCTACATGCAGATTTTGAAAACATTTAGAGCAGTGAATGTAATTTATTGTAGAACTACAGTTCCCTGATTTTAAACTTGGGTATGATACCAATAGTTTGAACAGTTTCTAATCAGTACTGGCAAACCTATACATGTATTGTTTTCACAGAAAACCAAATCATACCCATAAATATGGGAGAGACTGAGGAAAACGTTAAAGATCAAGGTGAAATTGAGAAGGAAGAGAAAGACAAAGCAGAGGATGGTGACGCAAAAGACGAAAAGAAAGACAAGGACGAGAAAAAGAAGAAAGATAAAGAAGGTGGGGAAGATAAAGCTGGGGATTTGGCTGATGAAGAAGAAAAACAGTCCAAGGACAAGAAGAAGAAGAAAGAAAAGAAAGAGAAAACTGATAAGAAGGATCCACCAAAACTTCAGGCAAAGCTTGAGAAACTAGACTCCAAGATCCAGGCTCTTCAGGCTAAGAAAGAGGAAATCCTCAAACTGCTTGAGGAACCCAAACAAGGTGCAGAAAATCCAACCCAGTGAATCTGCCCCAAATATCAATCAATGTACATCGATGTATAGAAGTCTACGCATTTCCCTGGATAATTTTGTTTGATTATTTGATCATTGAAGTTTTATTCCCTGCTCAGATATGCTTGTTACGAATGCAATTTAACGCTTAATTTAAAGGACATTTGATTTGGTTGGTATATCCAGCATACAAACGAAGTTCTGAGATTTCTTACCTTGATTGGCCACGACAGGTTGCATGTCAGAGGCTTTATTGCCAATCCTGGTGAGCTACATCAGAAATTTCTAGGGAAATTAAAAAAAAATCCAAAAGTATGCCAATTTGTGTCTACAATTTGATTAAATTGAAGAAATAAAACATTGCGATAATTATTAACACGATAACTTTTACCAAGATATATCGATATTTTTGTGTCCCACAACAGTTAACTTCACCATTAAATTAACGAAATAAAATTGTTTGTGTTTGTTACGCATACGGATATCAAACTTTGAATTCTGAATTAGGGGCCTCATGTGTTCAGTTATAACTTTAGGCATGAAGAAAGAATATATTTGCTCAATAACAAAGATATGAACAGAAAAATAGAAATTGCATGGTTTAGCCTTGCTATGACATTAGGTAGGGTAACATTGAAGCACTTTATAATCAACTCTGAGCATGTTGTAACAGCGATTCAAAGATAAAAATTTAGGAGAAAAATAACAATAAATCAAATTTTTAGTCCGTAACTTAAAAATATAGCTCTCATTCTTAAAGCAATCTTTTATGGAAAATAAAACCTTTTTGGCCATAAAACAACACTTCTCCTTAGAGGATAAAGCGATCATCAACATGATTGGTGGAAATGATATTCCAGGATCACGCAAGCCGCAAAAACAAGATATTACATAACATGGGGAAAAAAGGGCAAAAAAGGGTCCTTTCAATCTCTCCCTACCTGTCCAACGTGGCAGTTGTCATCTCTTGCAGAAAAATTCCTCCCGGCGAGCTTGAGCTTCGCTTCAATTCATGGCGTTTCCTGCACCATCTTCAGCATCTTATCTTCGAGGCCTCCACAGCAGCCATACCTTCTCCTCTAAATTCCCCTACCACCCCATGTTTCCTGCCAAGAAATCTCCATTCGTCGTGGCTATGGCTTCTAAAAGAAAGGTACCCAACTTTCACAACTCAACTGCGAATTCCGTTTCTTTTCGTCGGTGTTCTGCTTTCCAAGAAATCCCATAGTTAGCTTCTCTCAATCAGAATCCAGCTCGAATTATTTGACAAATTCACTAGGGTTCATTCTCTTAGCTTCCAATCACGAAAACCGGATCTCAAGATTGCTGAATTATGAAATGGAACAGGTGAACAAGTACGATGAGAATTGGAAGAAAGACTGGTTCGGGCCGGGAATATTCTACGAAGGAAGCGAGGAGGTGGAAGTGGACGTGTTCAAGAAGCTGGAGAAGAGGAAAGTGCTGAGCAATGTGGAGAAGGCAGGATTGCTGTCGAAGGCGGAGGAGCTAGGGTTTACGCTCTCCTCGATCGAGAAGTTGGGGGTGTTCTCCAAGGCGGAGGAGCTCGGATTGCTGAGCTTGCTGGAGAAGGCTGCTGGATTTTCTCCGTCAGTGCTGGCATCGGCGGCGCTTCCGGCGTTGGTGGCGGCCGTGGCAGCGATAGTTCTGATCCCCGATGACTCGGCGGGGCTGGTGGCGGTTCAGGCAATCGTGGCTGCTGCACTTGGGGTCGGGGCCGTTGGCTTGTTTGTTGGGTCCGTTGTGCTTGGCGGGTTGCAAGAGGCTGATTAGTGAAAATTACAAAGACAAGTGTATCAGAAAAATTATCCAAAAAACAAAACATAAACATAAACATAAATAAACCTATTTGTGAAGTTTAATTGTGTTTTTGTTTTTTCTGCCTATTTTTATTTTACTTTCTCCTTTTAGATCTGTGCTTTTCAGAGTTCTTATTGGGTTGAGGCTTAAGAGCTAAACCGATGGATAGTAGTAGTAACTGAAATATATAAATAAACCAACTAAAATAAGTCTCGCATATTGACGACTTTTACTATATTGATTTAAATATTTTTAAATTATTTTACTTTGATATTTGTTCACTTCAAGTTAATCCTTCTATTTGAGTGACATATTTGTTTGATGTTATTCTTTAAGAAGAAAATTGATCTTTCTCAATTTTGAATATACTTGAGAGACTGTGGAAATCTATACTTCTAACAGTTGTCTGGTGAAGCTTTTTTGGGATTGGAACTCCATGACTGGATAAAGAGGAATCTCTCTCTGGGGCGACAGAATATAAATGATGATCGGGGAGCGTTATTTGTTGTTACTAGCTGGTGGATATGAAAGTGCAAAAATCTTGCTATTTTTAAAAGAAGCAAGATCAATAATGAAACTATCATATCTAGTGCAAGAGCCAATGTTGGAAGCTTGAGAGAAGCTCATCAAAAGCTTGACAGGCGGTACATGACTCATACTATAAGTGACCACTGGAGACTTCCTGAATCTGATTAGGTGAAATATAATATTAATTTTGCCTATTCCCACCAGAGCTTTTTTGTAGCTTGTGGCAGCCTTCTGCGAGACTCACAAGGTCGCTTCTTACATGCATTTTGCTGCAAAATGGAGGAAGGTAACACTCTTATTGCTGAAATATGGGCCTGCATTCACAGGTTGAGGCTTGCATGGGATGTGAGATCATTGATTTAATACAAAATGGGTGCGGTTGGGAGCATTCTAACTGTGGAGCAATTATGGAGATCATCTCTTTACTTCAAAGAGAACGGGTTGTCATTGTACGAGTAATTAGCAAGAATGCAAACACTAGTACTGACCATCTCACAAAGATGGGACTTGGTATGATGCCAGGGATCACGTTTATGGTTCACGCACCATACGAGCTGCTTGATGTGTTGTCCAGGGATGTTATGAATGTAATTGAGGATACAGGCCAAGTTGCCTCAGTTCCATCCTTTTATTTGAAGAAAAAAAAAATTGATCTCTCTCATATCTTGAAAGGCATAAAGAATGATGATAAACAAATAATGTAAGGGTTTTTACACATACGTTATGCATTTAACAAGTTATATTAAATAATAATTTACATTTTATTTTCATTTCTATTAAAAATATATGTTAGTCATTTAACCAAAAAAAATTATTTCATTTCAATCTTCTTATCCTACCGTAAAACTTTAGATTGAAATTCTCCTTTTAAAAAAATGACACTTGGTCCAGAGAGGGATAAAATAAAGATGATTTAAAAAAAAAATACGGAGTCTGATTTCAGGGCTAAAAATAAATAAATAACGAATCTTCCATAAACACTGCCTATGGTCTGGCCCAAGAAAATGGATCGGGAAGGCATGGCCCAAAAAAGCAGTGTACACGATAAACGTTGAAAAATAAAAACTTTGGAGATGCGGGGTATCGATCCCCGTACCTCTCGCATGCTAAGCGAGCGCTCTACCATCTGAGCTACATCCCCCGTTCAGCAAGGTCCTATTAATATTTTTATTTATAAAAAATTTGACGCCAGGCCTCAAAACTACCCTTTATAAGAGTTCAAACTTTAAAAAAATTACTTTTTAAAAAAATGCAAACTTTGAAACCCAACCCAGGCAACCCTGATATGCTCTAAAAAGATAGACTCAAGTTCAAGCAACTTTTTAAATCCTTTTTCATTTTAATTTATTTTTTTAAATTGAATGTAAAATTTAAAATATGTGTTTATACTTTAAAAATAGATTTTATTATTTATTTTTAATTTTCTTAATATTATAATTTGTATTTTAAGAAATATAAAATATTATAATTAAAATTTTTAATTCTTAAAAATTTTAAAAAATAAAAAATAATAATAAATAGCTTATGGGCTCAGTTCCAAGCTCTTTAAATAAGAGTCATGCTTCAAAAATTAAATAATTTTTAAAAATTAAACTTAAGGGCTTAGCTCATATCGAATAAGTCCACCCATTTTCTACCTCTAATAATGAAGGACAAAAATAATGTTTAAAAAGTTATAGAAAATGAAATTTTAAATTTCTATATTTTAACTCATTTATTCATAGTTTTTGCAATATTTTTATATTTTAAATTCATTATTAAAATATTAAAAAATAATAGTGTAAGGATTTAAAATATTTAAAAAAATATTAAAATATATAATAAAATATAAATAAAGTATAAAAATTTAAAATTATATTTTATCAAAAAGTTACATTTTGCTCTATAGCGAGCGGAGACCGTACAGGTACTCATGCCAAGATCGTCAACCCGCCGGAAGCAATTGGGATGATAATCCTTATCATTACTTGCGTTGAAGCAGCTTTCTCAAGTGAAATGACACGTTGCACGCACCGAACTATGCATGGATATCACTGGTGTTCTTCACGAAGATAGTCGGATACCCTTTTTTTTTTTTTGGCTGGCATGTCACAAATACCTTTGCTCGTCAGTTATTTAAAAAAAGTATATACTTGCATTATTATTCACTCTTTCGAAGTATAATATAAATTATTATTAATTAATTTTTTTAAAAAAGAGTAAAAATCGTAATTTTTTTTAAATTATAATTTTCAATTATAGTTGTGAGTTTAATTTTTTTTTATTTCTAACTCATAAAATTATATCAACTCATTCATAAACTTAAACTAAATATTCACTTAGTTAAACTCATGAGTTTAACTTTGAGTTTACGATTTTTATATTTCTAACTTACAAAACTATACCAACTAATTTATAAACTTAAACTAAATATAACTTAGTTAAATTTATTAAGCTCATTGATATTTTACGTAATTCAGCCAATTAAGTACATGCTATATAGAATTCAATTCATACAGGTGATATGACCTAGCTCGAGAGAAAAAAAAAAGCTTAAAAAGCAAAAATATAAAAAAAGAAAAATAAAATACTAAAAATAACTTATTCTATTTTGAAACTTTTATGTTTTGTATAATAATCTATCAACGTAAATTGGTTTAATTTTAATAATTTATATTTACAATATATTTAAATTAAATTATAATCATATTTTATATTTTAATTATTTAATTATATATTTTTAATAAATATTTATTATCAAAGATAAACTCTCACATGTTTATGATTTGAGTTTACATTTTTATTATAAATTTATTTAAATTCATGAGTTTGACAACCTTGTTTCTAATTATATTTTTAAGTAAAATAGATATAATATTTAACTTATTTAAAATATCTTCATTAATTAATTAAGTGATATATAATAAAATAAAATTACAATTGAAAAAATATATTTAAACTTTACCTAATGTCTCATATTTTACACTAAACAAGATTTTTAAAATACGCCAAGTGTTGTGGTCGGGGGAATTCAAATAATGCGCCTTGCATGTGTGCGTACATGAATCAAGCATTTCACTGGGCCCTTTGAGCTCAGCCCAATCTGATGTTTCGTGGCTCATATCACTTCCATCTTTGTGGACTTTGTGGACAGTCAGGATCGTTTCCTTCGAAATATTGAAGGTTAAAGATTGATACATCCTAATCAAAACTCACTCGTTAATTAGAAGTCGCCACTTCATTCGTTTCTTAAAAACAGTTTTTTTCTTTTTTGGTATTTTTTTTCATAGTCAGGGATGTTAATGGAGGCTAAACTGACCTAGCTTATCAAATCAAATATATATTTTTTAAAATAATTGTCCCATATTTTGTGCCATTATATTCTAATTCTTTTTTTTTTTTTTGTTGGGACCCTTACCTCCCAATTTCTTGACTGACCCCTATGGATTAGCTGACCGAATATATTAAATGGAAGAATGATGCAAGAGAATGTGTCATTCGCGTCCGTCTACATGGAGATTTTAATTCAAAGAAACTGCAAAACATGCACTGTTTTATCATTCCAGCATAGTCTCTTCCCCTAAAGAACAAGAAGATAAATCAGAGTATAATTTTTAATCTAGCCTATGAATTTGTGCCCATAAGTTTTCCTTAAATTAATCAAGATCCTCCCCTTGTTGATATGTTTGTCCCACTTTAAAAAAGAAAGAAAGAGAGAAAGATCAGGTGACTTTGGCGGCAGTTTGTCGCAATTTTGTGGGGAAATGACAATTAGGAACCCTAAAGTTATTAATTACAATTGTGATATCAAATTATTGAAAGCATGAACCGTGATCCTTACTTAAAATTTTAAAAAATATGAATAGTTTAAAATATTCCTTAAAAGCAATTTTAATAAATTTTTAAGTGACTATTATATATTTACAAATATCCTTAGAAAGTTTCAAAAGTAAATTTTAATTCCTTACTGAAAAATAATATATTCCTAACTATTATTTCTTAGTTTTTTAATTGAGATCAATAATATTCTCATCTTGTGATAATAATTTCAGCAGCATTGTTTCTTTATTTTTCAAATGTTCTACTTATATATTAATAAGCATACAAATTCACAAGTAATTAAGTTTATATTTAAAAGTGATTTTAATAAATTTTTAAGTGACTATTATATATCCACAAGCATTCTTGAAAAATTTTAAAAGTATATTTTAATTTCACATTGGGAAACAATATATTCCCTACTATTGTTCACTGGTTTCCAATTAATATTAATAATATTCCTATTACATAATAGTAATTGCGGCAATGCCATTTCTTTATTTTTTAAGTGGAGGATAATTTTATAAACTTGCCTATATTTTTAATTCAAGGTAAAGAACACGATTCACTATTAAAATTTTAATAATTTAGGGTTCTTAATTGTCATGTTTTCAATTTTATGTGTCCCTTGGAGATGAGATGGAGAAGTGGCCCAATAAATTTAATAAAACCCCGAGACACACGAAAACCTAGGGGCCTTGTTTACAAACTACAAAAGAATAATGGTAGTAGGATTTAGTAAAAAAAACTAGTCTTATATAATGTGTTGAATTAATATTTAATTTTTTATTAAGAAAGTTTTCTAATAGTGCTTTGAATAAGGTTATCTCTAATAAGATATTAAATGTGGGAAACAAAAAAAAATACTGCCAAAAACCAATAAAAAAATTATTTAATTAGTAAGAATTTATCTTATAACACACGAAGACGTGAAATCAAATCTCAAAAATCTTATAAGTAAGTGATTTGTAATTACTTTTACAAGTATTTTTTAAACTTGGAAATATGTTTGGGTCACTATAAGATATTGAAACCCAATTCACCCAAACGTCAGTGTACAAAAAATATTAATTTAATTTTTTAATATTATATGAAAAATACCAATACTTTAATATTTATAATTTAAATTTCATAAAATTACAAGCAATTTATTAAAAATTTATTAAAACTTCAAGTTCACTTTTAAAAATATTGACATTTTAATGTTTACAAGTCAACATTTCAAACTAATAAGTAATTTTTCTTAATATAACTTACACGTTATTTCTTTTAAATTATAATATAAAATATTTTTTAAAAGTTTCATTTGATTCAAAATATAGAACATTAGGTACTCCTTTTGTTTAAAAATATAAAATATTTTTTAAGGAGTTGGATGTTAAAAAATGTAAGGCATTTTTAATCTTTTGAGGTGTAATCATTAACTTTTTTTAAAGTGTCCCTATTGATAATAACTTTATATTTATTTTAGGATGTTTAATAGAGGTAAATATAAAAAGATAAATTTATTTGAAAAGTAGGTAATTACTTTATTGGAGTGAAATTCAATTAAAAATACCTTATATTTTTTAATGGAGGGAGTATGTTATATATATAAATATATATTTTCAATCATACACATACTTTATCCGACTCCATCCAAATACTTAATGAGTGTGTTTTAAATAATTTAAATGTTATATTTACTCTATCTAAGGGTGCAAAATTAGAAAGATATAAATTATTAAAAAAAAAAAGCTTTTAACTAACTTTTTTTAATATAATTTAATTAATAATAACTTATAAATTTTTCAAATGAAATTGTGGTTCAGAGGGAACAAATTATAAGCTAGCTTCCCAAATTTATCAATCATTCTTTAAAATCTACAAATTAATAGCGATAAGTAAAGCTTAGGTTCAACAAGAACTCTATTGTTATGGGATTAGTCCTTTGATTCGTACAGCATTTAGACACTCTTATTACAAGATGTTAAATAAGTTTAATTTGTATGAGAAGAAGGATGCTTAGTTAAGTTAAAGAAAAGCAAAACTTGAGGACAAAGGATAGTTAAAAGAGCTTGGAGAATGTGAGAGTAATATTATTTTGAGAACTCAAGGATTGATTACAAATGAGGAGGCGGTGAGGTATTTATGGACCTCCCCTTGATTTTAAAAAATTCTCATCTCTTTAATGGACAGTAGAGATTAAATTAATTTTACAGTTACAATTGATTCTCTAAAATTTTATTTTAAATATTTACATGAAAGTATCTAGAAATTATCTCAAGACATGTTTGAAATATTTTAGAACATCTTAAAGTATCTTAAAATATTTTAAATATCTCTATATCCTTCCATGAGCTTTTAAAACCTTCTAAATTCTTTTAAATTAATTTAAATATTTTTAAATTGTTCTAAACATTTATAGAATATTGTAAAACATTTTAAATTTCTCTTAAATGTTTTAAAATACTCTCTCCTAAATTAATTCGAGAGCTTTTAGGAAGTTCTAAAATATTCTGAATCACTTTAATCTCATAAAAAGTCACGGATCGTAACACTATGCTGCTGTTGCAAATGTGGATACTAAAGACTATTAAAATCTATAAAAGTAATTCTTTGATTGGTTTTTGATCGATTAATGGTTGACAACAGCAGGTCTAATAATTATTAGTGGCCAGTCAGTAATCAATAGTCACTGACAGTATGACAAAGTGGCAGTATGTTAAACTGTTAATTAAAGATTGAGTCCAAAAGTATTTGTATCATTTCACAATGAAAATTAACTATAATCAAATCTCACGTAATATGAAAAAGTTTTATTTTTTTTAAATTTATGAGATTCATTTATAAATAAATGCTTTAAATAAGTCCCAATCCGTCTGGTTCAAAAAAAAAAAAAAAGGGAGTCCCAAACCGTAATTTCCCGCTTGTTAATTTGGGTGCCACAAAGCGAGTAATCGGCGAGTGTGCGCAGCTCATCCTTTCTATGATTCCCCCTGTTTCTGTCCTCTAGTTATTATCTTCACTTGCATCATTTTACCATTTTGCCCCTACCCTTATCCACCTGCTCCCTCTACTCTACCTATAAATTAAGGAACCCAATTTCTTTTCATTTTTTTCTTTCTTTATTTTCTCTTCACTTTTCACTTCAATTGCCAGATTCATTTTTTAACGGATAAAATTTAATGTTTCATAAAATTATTATTATATTTATTTTTTATAAAATTTTACATTCTAATAATAATTTAATAAAACATCAAATTTCAATCATTTAAAAATAAATCTGACAATTGAGATGAGAAATGGAGAAAAAGTGAAGGAAAAAAAAATAAAGAGAAGTCAAGTCCTAACCTAAGGAATACTTCTTCCACCCATGACATTTATTTTAGAAAAACATTCTTATAATTTTATCAAATTTTTCTTTTAACTTTTATAATTTTTATAATTTTTTTATTTTTTATAATTTTAAAAAGATTGAGTGGTATTTATATTTTAAGTCTATGTAGTTTCAATTTTTTTAATATATAAAGACTAAAAATATTATAAAAATTAAAAATAAAATCTGATAAAATTATGAAAATCGATAATTATATATTTTTTTAATCTCTAGCTATAAAGACCCATACAAATTTTAGATGAAGTTCAAGAAAAAAAATACAAATTTTTAGGTATAATTAATATTTACAAAAAAACCTTCGCAGAAAATATAAATTTTTTACCTTACCCGTGAAATTTTATCAATAAATGCGCTCTGTCTCATCACATTAAGTAGAAGACAAATATTAAAAACTAATTTTTATCTAATACATAAATTTCAATACCTCCTTGATCGGTATATTTTTTAATATTAACTCTGATATATGTTTTTTAACTATCTAACTAGGTTAAATTCTAGTATTATCAAATCTAACAAGAGATAAATCTTTTAAAAATATTTTTCTACATCTACATGAACATGAGATTCTGTACTTAAAAGGTCATAATTTTTTTTACTTAAACCAACACTAGTTGCTAGTCTAATATTTATATCTCTTGGTTATCCCAAAAATATTTTTTTTATTAAAAATAATTTTATTTAAGATACTATTAAATATTAAATGAGAGGATTTTTTGTAACGATGATTTAAATTTCATGAGTGATTAATTCTTTTTGTTAGATTCAAACTTTTTAGCATAATATTGATATTTAAAAACGAAGATAGCGCTACTATTTACTATTCAGATTTCACGGGCAGTGGACTTGAGCCATGACGTATGGATAGGCCCACCTTCATATCACCCTCGTCATTTCTCCTGCTCCCGCCGCCCTTTTCTTACTTTTATCCTTCCATTCCCTTTCTAGTCTCTATATTTAATAGACACATGATGGTTAAACTGTGCCACGTAATAAGGAAATAAAAGAAGGGAGAATCCTATCCAGAGTCTCCAGATGGTGGGGTAAAAAAAATGGCAGTGAGAATTCAGAGTAACTGAAGCTTCAATGATATAGAAGATGAGATTCAACTATTCAATTGCGCATGCTGAGCTTTCTGTTGTTTTGGGCCATCCCTGCCATGTTTCTCATCTAAGAGTCCTGAATGTGATTCTCTCAAAAAAAATTTTACATATCATAAAGTTGTATAAATAAAAATAGTATTCAGTCCTAATTTTATCTAACAATTATACATTTATACTAATGCATGTTTGGTAAATATATAGTAATTTTCAAATTAAAAATATTTTAATGGAAATAATACAATGACTTATCCAAATATTTTATTCCTCCTCCCCCAATGAAGTTTATTTCTCAACAATGGAAAAATAAAAAAAATCATTATAGGTATTCGAATATCGTTTTTGAAATAAATAAAAAAAAATCAAACAACAAAGCAAACACTTTTTTTTTAAAATAATGAGTCCAAAGAAAAAGGGTATCATAGTAAGTAAACGCTTCCTTCACTGTAGGCGTGGCTGTATTATAAAATATAAACCCAGCGAAGTCCCTTTGTCCGGAGAGAAGCCAGAACTTTATTCTTCATCTTCATCCTCACAGCTCCCACGCGCCATTGTTGTTTGCTTCTTCTTCTCCATCCCATCCCTGTCCTCGAGTTTCCCCTTCGCTCTTCTTCTTCTGAGTGATGGGTATGTGCTACCGCTGTTCCCATACCTCCCACATCACTGAAATCATAATCACCAGCTTCTTCCGCCACAAGCCTTAGATCTTCGCGCCCAATTCTACTCTCTTGGATCTTCTTGACCAGCTTTATGGCTGCTTAAGAGCGTCGATCGGAGTCTTCCTCAAATGACGGGTGGGAGGGTGCTCATGGGTTCTCACACTAACGCTTCCAATTTGGGTCTTTTGCTTCAAAATCAAGCCGCTCCTTCCTCTTCTGACTCTCTCGATGCCTTTTTCCTTTCTGGCTCTTCCTCTTCTTTCCTCGGTACTCCCTCTCTCTCTTACCTTTTACTTGCTTCTCTGATCCTTCAACTGTTTTCTTGCTTCTTTATTTTGGTGCTGGATAGGTTTTGGATGATACTGATTTCATTCCAATTATGCTTTATTGGGCATTCCTGATTGCATTTGCCTATTTTGTTGTATTCCGCAAGACTCTCTTTGAAGTTCTAATGTTGTTGTATAGGAAAACCTCTTGAATAGTTAATTTGGCTTGCAAGATCAACTTTACACACTGGAGCATTAATTTAACCGATCGAAGTAAAGATCTAATCCTTAATTTTTATGGGGGCAAATAGGAGTAGAGATTAGCGAGCACTAACCTAATTTCTGATTGGTCAATTTGAGCTCCCAAATATTAAGCAATAACCTGCACGAAACACACTGAAGTCCGGAAGGTATATGAATATCAATTCAAGAATGGATAGGAGATTGGGCGATCATGATATTGATGATCTTTCTAATTTACTATTTTGCATGTTCAGGTTCAAGATCCATGGTGTGCTTTGAAGATGTTAAACGAGGGAAAGTATGTAACCAGTCATTCTTTAGCCCTTTTGATCATGATGAAAATGGAGATGAAGACTTGGATGAATACTTTCATCAACCTGAGAAGAAGAGGCGGCTGACCGCTGACCAAGTCCAGTTTCTTGAGAAAAGCTTTGAGGTAGAGAACAAGCTTGAACCAGAGAGGAAAATTCAGCTAGCCAAGGAGGTTGGCTTGCAGCCTCGGCAAGTTGCCATTTGGTTCCAGAATCGCCGCGCACGATGGAAGACAAAACAGCTGGAGAAGGATTTTGAATCTCTGCGGGCTAGCTATGACGGTCTTAAAGCTGAATATGATGACCTTCTTAAGGAGAAAGATAAATTGAAAGCTGAGGTAAAATCATAATTCTCTCTTGTTGAAAATTGTACAACCTCAGTGCCTTAGGTTACGTTTTGCTGATAAAACTTTTCATGAATCTCAATTCAGGTTGCAAATCTCACAGAGAAGGTGCTTCTCAGAGAGAAACAAATGGGAAACTGCAAGCAGGATGACGCCAGTAAACTCAAAGAACCACAGCAAGAGCAAAAGCCCTTGTTTGACACAACTTCTGATGGCGAAGGCTCCAAAGTCTCTGTTGGGGCTTGCAAACAGGAAGACATAAGTTCTGCCAGGAGTGACATATTTGATGCAGATAGCCCGCATCACACTGATGGAGTTCACTCCGCGCTGCTGGAGCCTGGGGATTCCTCCTATGTATTTGAACCTGATCAGTCAGATCTCTCTCAGGATGAAGAAGATAACTTGAGCAAGAACCTGTTCCCACCATACATATTTCCCAAGCTCGAGGACGTTGATTACTCCGACCCGTGTGAAAGTTCATGTAGTTTTGGATTCCCAGCTGAAGATCATACCATTTGGTCCTGGTCTTACTAGATCTTCTGTCTTGTACATGCAGCTCTGTTTCTTATGTCTTTGCACTCGCTGTTCAGACCTTGTGGTAGATAGATATGAGTAAGGAATAAAATAAGTCTTGAGCGATGGCATCCTAGTCCTGAAATTCGAGGCTGGTCCAGGGTAGAAATGGTGGATTTCCCCCATTTCCTGTAGCCTTTGTCGATGTTGGGGATGTCAATGTAGTATGTATGAAGCTTTTGGTCTTAAATGTAATTAAATAAATGTGTTCTCTTTGAGAATGCTGCCTGTGGGGAGATTGTTTCAGACAGGCTTAGTTTATCAACAAATAAGTGAGTTTCATTCCGGAAGAGAATGCAAATGCATGTTAGGTAAAATCTTTGCCATTGAGAATTCTAGCAGTGAATCAGGTTATGGAACGAAAGACTGGCAACTTTAAATGTCAAAGTATTCTCCAACTTAAAGACATAATATCTGGGGGCCATTATGTTAATATTTTTATCAGGGGAAAAGCATTTTTTTGAAAGAGTTATGTGATTTGTCATTTGTGTGTGATTTCTTTTTACCTTTTATTTTCCCGCCAAGTATGTGATTTCATTATTAGATTAATCTACCAAAATAATGTTTAGTTATATGAAAAAGTAAATTTCGTTTCATAGTATTTTTATTAATTATGTCTCGACTGATCTTTTTTCATTTTAAGAAAACAGCTTCTATAAAATCCTGCGTAAAAGTTCTCTATCATTCGAAGTCTCGAACTGATGAGTTTGTTTTTCGGGGAACAATCGAATTAACAAGGATGATTGACAAAGGCAAAAAACAAAAAAAAAAAAAAAACAACAACAGTAGATAACTGAAAACTATATGACAAATTAATAATAAAAAATTATTAAAGCGTGCATGCTAAATGAAAGATAACGAATTGAATTAACACATGCTTGCAAGTTTATTAATTTATTATGGTAATTCAACCTGCATTAATGTATGATTATTGAACAATTGCAGTTAAGTAGAGGATGTACAGAAATGGAGATTGCCAGGTGGTCAATTATTGACAATTTGACACCAAGCTCACATTGGATTCTTAGACTACACCCACCACATTGGATTTTCATTTTCTACATCATCTTCTCCCCCCCCCCTCTCTCTCTAAAACTCTGTGTATACATATACATATACTCTGTGAGAGAGAGAGAGAGAGAGTTTGAATTTGGAAGGAAGTGTTGCTTCACACTAAGTAACTAATACGTGGCTGAAATGGTACCATCATGCTTAAACAAGTCCATAATTAATCCTAATGACGGTTGAATTTGGATGGTGACGTATTGTTAATATTAACATCTTTTAATTCGTGGCTCAAATTTCATATTTCCTGCCCCTCTTTTCTTCACAGGTTCGACTTTCCTTATCAAGGTTTGTTTGCTGACTTTTTTTAAGGGAAAAAAAAAAATATCCAAGTTGTGCAACTGAGTTTAGCATCCTCTCTCTAAACACACAATGTCACCAATAATAATTGCCTTCAATGGGTTATCATGGACTTGTATGCAAATGTGGCCGAAAAGGAAAATTCTCGTGCACCTCGATAACTTCATATTACTCTTGGATATTTAATAAACCTAGTAACATCATGAATGCTAAAAATTCACTCTTTCCATTCATACACAGCGACTAGCGAAGTCAAGCAAGTGCTAGTGTTCGATTTCTTGCGCTTCTAAACAAGTAATTACCTCATTATTTGTGTTACATGGTGGGTCCAGTGAAATAATAAGCATAAAGAATAAAGCTTTTTTTGGTCAAGAAAGAATAAAAGTTTAAAATACAATAACTTAAAGATTAAGAATTCAATTGAGATAATTATTTTGTATTGATTAATATGAAGACAGTAATATCACCATAACACCGTCGTAAATCAGTAATTTTCAGTCTACACTGAGCTACGCGCGCGCGCACTAACTCCCTCTATTATCAAGTGTGGGAGCAGGTAAAAGGATTCTTTAATATATGATTGGATAAAATAACAAATTTAATTATAAATTATTTTTTAAGCAGCATCTGATAATTTAAATTATTAAATAATATAAAATAAATCATGAATTTTTAAAAATAAAATATCAATATCTTGCCGTTAATTTTAATTTACGAACGTCATGTGAGACCCACAATGATATGTGGCATCACATATTAGCATGATAAAAGTATAAATTTAGTCGTGAACTATTTTTTAAAGAGCGCTAAGTAGCCTATGCTATAAAAAAACAAACCATCCAACACTTTTTTTTTAATTTTGATCAAACACCATTTATTTTCCTACTTATGAGGCCTATAAAGCATTAAGTTCTTCAATCTTCTGACCTTCATTCTCAATTTCAGCTTGAAAAAAAGAGATTCAAAGAGTTCTTATCTTGAAAATATTCACAAAGGCGATGCTAACAAAGTAAAAGAAATAATTTATGGTTAAATTAAGCTAGAATCAATATTCTCTCATGCGTAGTAAAATCAAGCTTCTACTTCATTAACATTGTCTTTGTGAATGTCTTCAAATAAGAACTCATTAAACCTCTTCTTCTGGAGCTTTTGTTGAGAATCAAGATAAAAAAATTGAAGAGATTAATACTTTATAGACCGCATAAGTATAAAAATAAACAGTATTTGATCAAAATTGAAGAGAAAGTGTTGGATGGTTCGTTTTTATATAGTAAAGGCTACCCAACACTTCTCAAAAAATAATTCATGACTAAATTTACACATTTACTATGCTGATGTGTCATACTTATGTCATGCCATGTGTCATTGTGAGTTTTATATAACATCTGTTAGTTGAAATTAATGAGATGGGTTACTGATGCTCCATTTTTAAAAGTTTATAATTTATTTTACACTATCTAATAATTTAAACTATCAAATGCTTATCGAAATATAATTTACCATCAAATTTACTGCTTTATACATATATGATTTGTAGAGAGGAGCATGAGGGTGGAAGTTAGAATATAAAACAAGGTACTCTACTATTGGTAATAGCTCGTGTATATTTTTTGCTTACATATATTATTTTTAGAAGAGATATTCGCATTTAAAATATGATTAGACATGAAATATCAACATTTATTTTTAACAAGAATTCAAATGTTGATGCATCATGCTAGTGAGGCGATAGCAATTGATTGTATATTTAAATGAAAGAAAATGGTAATAAGAAAAGAGTGATGATGGAAGGATGTGGGAGCATGAGGGAGTGCGTGGCAGGAAAGAGGGTGGGCCATTGAGAAGGTGACATGTGGGGACTGTGTTCTGTAAGCACATTGCCTAGGAAAGCGGTCAATCGCCGCGACGCCATCCGATGACGAGTGAAGTGTAGGGCTGAGATGGGAGGACGTCGCCCTCAGTCCCTGGGAGAGCGTTTTTGGTGGAGGTGTGGTCAAACAAAAACGAGAAAACATAGGGTGAGGAGGGAGGCAGCCACAGGAATCTCAACACTACGTGTGCGGAGCGGGCCCCACCGACAGCGACGTCTGGGGAGTATCGTGGCGTCTTTTCTTTGCCCTCATTGGCTGGGGGCCATCCCGTCAATTCCTCCCCAATTTCTCTATCCTCCACACAACCCCCGGGAGCGCATCTCTCCCCTTCTTTTTCCCTCTTCTCTCTCCATTTTTAAATCATGATTATTCATTAAATTTATTATTAAAATAAATTTATTTAATAAAACAAAATTAATATTCCCCCATCTTTTTTATAAGTCATTTCTACCAACCCTATTAATAGGGCTTCACAAAAGACAGAACGACACTGAATTTCATCCTAACCCAAAGTTTGATCTCTTTCATAAAAAGAATTAAGTTAGGCAATCCGTAGTTCGATCTTGTCTAGTGATAACCCAAAATTAACAAGATCAGACTTGGTCCATAGGATTAAAAGACTGGTCCTGTCAGTACAGTACTCACTTAACTTTTTTTTCTTTTTATTCTATGAGAGGCAATAATTCATTTCAACATAATAAACTTAATTAAGATAGTAAAAATATGTATAATAATAATAAATTCATAATAATTTTCAACAATAAGAAAAAATATTTCTATTATAGTCTAAATGATTTAAATTTATAGCTTTACTAAAACCAGCACTCAATAAAATTTAACAACATTACATTACAACAACAATTTAAAAATAAATTCAATAAATCTTCATACAATTATCTCTTTAGCATCAATTACACTTCAAAAATTTATCAAAAATAAATTAATTATAATTATAATAAAAAAAATTAATAGGAATGGATTAGATCAAGTGGTCTGGATGCCTAGTCTCTTGTCTAGTCCAACCTGAAAAAATAGTCTGGTCTTTTCAATCTTTTTGATCCTGAAGGACCAGTGTCTATGCGGACCGAATAAGAGTGAGACCATCTCGAATTGGACTAAAAAACTTTTACACAGTCCTACCTATTAATATCAATATAAAAAATATAAAAAATAAAAATATTTAGAAATTTAAATGTTCCCACAAATTCAAAGAGATCTCATATAATTTTTTTATAAAAAATAATTTCAAAAATGTTATTAAAAGGCTGCATTTGTTACTCCTCCTTGTACATTATTTCCTATCTGAAAATTTTCTTCATGTTTTTTATAATATGGTTTTCAAGAAAACACCTTTCACATATCAAATTATTCTCTTTTAAATTTGCAAACAAAATTAAAAAGTAATTTATTTTTAAAACATTCTCTTTCATTTAAATATAAGTAATATTTAAAAAATATAATTAACATCTACCAAGTATTTTATATTAAGGGATATATATATATGTACACACACACACATTTCTAAAATACTTTCACGCTACTGAAAAAGTTGTTAAAATTAATTAAGAATCTTGAATGTTTTTACAAAAAATAGAATTTTCAAATTACATTTAATTAAAATTAACTTTACTTGTAAATCTTAAAAGCAAACATATATTCAGATGAACGAATTGAATATGTGAGATTTTTTTTTTTTGGAAATAACTCATTAATACGTCAACAAATTGCATAAGATGTCATACACTAAGGACTAAAAGGTGTTTCCTCTTGATATGCCTCATATATTACTTATCAGTTATCAACAAGCGTAACATGGTATATCATATATCATCATATTATTCATATCACGGGCCGAGAACTTGGGGTCAATCTCGCATTGGGATAGGATGGTTAATTACTTGTTAAGTCACAAGGCATCTCGGAGGAGAAGGCGAAAGAGATAAGAATGGGAGAAGGGAGGGCGCGTCCCATCCTAAGGAGAAGATGACACCCACAATCCGACGCAACACGCGTTCCTTCGCTTTCCTTGGTCCCCCACTAGCCTCCCCCACCTCTCTCCCTCCCTCTCTCTCTCTCTCTCT